ATACATATATATATATACATACGTTTCTGTGTACTTGCAAGGTACATCTCCGCACCCTCCTCCAAGCAGACCACCAACCAAAAAAAAAAAAAATCACCCCTCCCCTTTGAAGGGCCAGCGGTCTCTGTGGGGGGGGGCTTCAGGCTTCAGGGGGGTCGGGACGGGGTGCGCAGCCGGTAGACCGCTCCAAGGCATCAAAGCCGGAGTCGCAGAAGTGCTGCCGTGCAAGGACTGCAGCTGCGCGGCGGCGGATGACAAAACGCCTTCACCGCGCAATGAGGAGGCGGTCAGCTGCGGCAGGCGCGCGGGCAAGGATGACGGGGAGGGTGTCGCGCCAGGACGCCCAGTGGGCTGCGTGGCGGTCGGTGTCGGCGCGACGCAGGCCGAGCCCGCCGAACCGTTGGGTAGTTGGGCGGCCCGGAGTGTATGCGCTCGGGGAAGAGTAAAACTGCCGAGCGAAGGAGGTGTAGCTCGCTCCGAGCGCGCAAGGCCCCGAGCATCGCGCCATGTGAAGCATGCATGATCGAACGCGCCAACGGCATTAACGGAGAGGATGGTGGCGTGTGAGCATGCTTCGGTGGCGGCGCGGAGCGGGCGACTGACAGCTTCGGTGCCGGCACGGGCTGAGGCCGCGATGTGGCATGCACGTTTCCTGGAACTGCGACGCAAAGTGTTTGGCGAGCACACGACCTTCAAGGCGCCGGAAAGCGTCACCAACGACGAGCGCGAACCCTGCCGTTGGGCTTGCGCAACGCAACCAAGCGGCCGAGCTTGCCCAAACCGGCCCCGTGCAGCACATCGTCAAGAAGGATGTGGGGGTGCTCATGGCATGGTGGCGCCGGAGGGCCCGGCAGCAGAGCCGCGTCGGGCAGTGCGCAAGCAGTCGAGGAGGGCTAGCTGTGGCAATGGGCATGTGCCGGAGTGCGTCCTCAGGGGGGTACCGTAGGCGACAGGCGGTGGCCTTTCGGGATCTCGGAGCTCGGCGAAGGTGTCGTTTCCGGGCGCAAGCGGTTCAGCCGTTAGGGCACGGGCCGCCGCGGAGAGCTCGTCTATTGTGGTGCTGGGGAGGCAGGCAACGATGATTGACAACATCTTCATCCGCCACCTGCGCCGCTCGAATTTGTTTTTGTCGGCTGTGCTCCAAGTTGCGGAAGCTGCGGAAGGGAGCGGGGGGCGGCACTCCGTTGTGTTCTGCCGCCAGGAAACAATCCCGACTCGGTACTAGGGCTCTTCGTTGCCCTGGGAAAAGGTGGCCGCGGGAGGATGTCCGGGACTCAAGCTTGCCCCGGCACTCTGTTCGCAGTCGGCTTGCGCCTCGCTGCGTCTTCCAACTGCAGTGCCCGGCGAGGTATGTGGCCGTCCATCTCGCTGCGCATGTCCCCCCGGCTCGGACCACGTGCTTGGTCCCGTCGCCGCAAGATTCCGCAAGCAATTGGCTGGATCATCGTCGTGGGGCGCGTTGCTACGGCACAGTCCAGCTGCACCACGCTAAGCACGGGCAGGCGCTCAATCATCCTTTGCAGTCACTTTGCGGAAACGCCCTCGCGAAACCACTTGTGCGGTAGCATCTCCAAAGCGCGCGCAGCGGAATTAAAAGTGGGGCATGTGGGTGCCTCGGACACGCCAGCGGCGGCCACTGCACCACGGTACGGTCGCGTGGTTTCATGCCTCGCCCAGCCACATCGACTTGAACACAAGGGTCTACTACTGTCGGCGCTGGAAGTGGTGCTCTCGGCAACTAGCAAGAAGCATGGCCATTGTTAAAAGTGTTGCTGGTGTACGTTCGGCAGACAGCGTGCGGGGAACTTCTCCTGCCACCTGGCATCTGCGAGGACCTCGCGTAGGTCAGCGAGCAGCGAGGCGGCCGAGCAGCGAGGCGGCATGCGCTCTCTGCAGCGCGTCCCAAGGGTCTATGGCAGTCGGGCTCGCTCGCGCGCAAAAAGCCAGAGCAAACGGGCCGCCTCAGCACGCTCAGAAGGAAAAGTGTTGCCTTCGCCGGGCGAGCATGTCCGACCGCCATCTCCAGTCGCAGCTCCTTATCATTGTTCTTTATTCGACCTACTAGACTGAACACGGCGACCACCCTCACGGCCTTCCAAGGCATCTACGAACCGAGAAGCTTTTGTTAATGCTACCTAGCAAACATCGCATCCCTTATGCTGCATATGCCGCACTGTCAGATGCAGGGCCATCCGTGGACAGAGTTACAGCTCTTCCAACTTTTGCTCCAGAGAGACCCCTGACTTGGACCGGTAAAGTCCGGTGCGTGTCTCTGGCTCATCGGACCACCGGGAACGTGCGAAGTCTAGTGCAGCTAGTCACTCTAGTCAGTCGCCAGAACAGCACGCAGTAAAACCTCGCAGCAGCAAATTTTCTCCATCTCGTGCTGGAAGCGAATGCAATTCCAGCTGGTTCACACAGCAGACGGCTGCGGCCGGCACGGCTCATAGCACTGACTGCACGACGACCATCCTTCTCGATGAGGCCCTGCAACGTCTCTGCTCGACCAGACTCGACCAGCATGATGTTGGCAACGTCATTTCTGCTGCATGCTTTGACGAGCGAACTTGTCAGCTTCCGCCAAGAGCCACCTCAGACAGGACCACTTGGGCAAGTGACGCTTTCGGAGAGTGCTGCCCCAAGCGCTCTGGAGCCCTGAGCGTAAGCCCTAAGCCCAAAGCCCTAAATCCTCAACCCTACGCCCTAGAAGCACCAGCTACCGCCCTTTCCCTCACTCCGCGCCTGACTCCGGCCTCGAGTCCCTGGCCCTGCAGCGCGCAGCAGGGGTGGACGTGGAAGGGCCGCTCGCTGAAGAGCCGCTCGAACTCGAAGAGCCGTGAGAGCTCCTCTGCAGAGTCGCCGGAACCGCCACACAACGAAACAGAGTCGCCGGAATGGCCACTGGGATTCTGGAACTACCGAGAGCCCGAAGAAAGACAGAAGGTCTCATTCAAGTTGCTCTTCACATCTTCGTGTCCTGGATGCTGAGTGCTTCCGGCTTGTCCTGCTTGTTGGCCAGGCACAGCAGCGGCACGCCCTTGAGCTTGTCGTGGTTGATCACTTCCACCAGTGTTGCCTTGGCCTCTTCAATCCGGATGGGATCGGCCGAGTCCACGATGAACATGACACCTGCGGCAGAGAGACACCATAAGAAGACGCATGGGCAAAGTGTGAAGAATGCGGGAGAAGCCTTGCACTTCGGAATAGTAGTTGTGCCACACCGACCGGAAAGAGGAATGTCCACCCAGGTCCCAGAACACGGCAATCACCTGACGAAAACAGAGCACACTTTGCAAACGCGGAGAGTTTCTTCTCCTTGAAGCTTTTGCTCTCGCCTTGTCGATCTGGATGCGCCCGATATTGAAGCCGATGGTTGGTGGAATCCTAACGCAAACAAACTGCGACGTCTCTTTTGAAAAACGGAGCAGACCACAGCGGACAACCACTTCAGCGGCCTCTCCGGCGGCATGCCTTTGAGCCCGAACAGCGACTTCAGCTTTTCTAATGTGGTGGTCTTGCCAGCGTTGTCGACACCAAGTAAAACCATGCGGCGCTCCTACGAGCGTCACAACAAGAGTCCTCCACGACATGATCCGTGCATGCGGCGCCGTCCTCCTTTTCCAGAAGCCATTGCCAAAGACCGCACAGAAGACTGAACATAAAGGAATGCCTCTGTCAGCAGCGTACCTTGCAATTCGTGCAAAAGTAAATGAACATTAGTATATATATATATATATCTGTGTGTGTATATATATATATTATATTATATATATATATATAACAAGTATTACCTACCTACATACATACAGACAGACAGACATACATACAGACACACAAGCATGCAGACATAAGACATACAGACATAATTACATTACGTTACATTATACATTACATTACATTCCATTACGTTGCATTGCATTACATTACATATATACATAGATACATAGATACATAGATACATAGATACATACATACATACATACATACATACATATGCGTGTAAGCATGTGTGTATGTGTATATATATATATAAGTGATATATATATATATGTGTATATATATATGTGTGTGTGTATACACATAAACTTGACATCATACCATCCACGTATGTCCTGCTGCACGTCTGTGAATGGCGCACCTTGTATGCATGTATGCATGTATGTATGTATGTATGTGTATGTAGGCTAGGTAAGTAGGTAGGTAGCTAGGTTAGCTTAGGTTAGGTTAGGTTAGGTGAGGTTAGGCTAGGCTAGGCTAGGTTAGGTTAGGTTAGGTTGGTAGGTAGGTATATTGGTAGGTAAGTAGGTAGGTTACTGTATGCAAGTATGTATGAATGCATGCATGTATGCATGTATGCATGTATGCATGCATGCAATACATGCATACATACATACATACATACATACATACATACACACACATCCATCCATGCATGCATGCATGCATGGATGCATGTATGTATGTATCTATGCATGTATGCAGGTATGCAGGTATGCATGTATGCATGCATGCATGCATGCATGGATGGATGGATGGATACGTTTGCTTTTTGCTGTCGTTACGGGCGCGTGCTTTTTTTTGCTGTCGTTGCAGGGCGCGCGTTTTTTTGCTGTCGTTGCGGGGGCTCGCATCTTTGTTTACTGTCGTACCCGGGGGCGGGGTTCACTCACTCACTGGCTTCCTGGGTTCGCGCACAGACAACAAAAACCAACATAAAGCAACTACAGCAAAAGAAACAAGCACAGGTTCCGATTGCAGCTACTGTGTCTCTTGACAAAGAGAAGCCTCAGCCTCATCCTGTCATTGTCAACACTCATTACCAGCACCACCACCGCCACGCCCTCCAGCACCATCATTATCAGCATAGCAGTCACTACACGGCAATGCACACTGGGCCTTGCGTTCCAGGCTTGGAATCTCGTGTTCGAAGGTATTGGGACCCGGGATTCCCAACACCGGCGATTGCGCCCGAAATCTGCATGGGTCCCCCGGTCCTTCTAAGAAGGTTCATGTGCAGAAAGGGAAGTGGTACGGGAGACTTGGTTTTGGCATCACCTCTGCTAACCGTCCGCAGGAAACATAAGCATGTGACACAGTAAGGAGCTGACCAGAAGAAGGCCCACCATGGCCATGACTAAGACCCTGACGCCCAGACCCTGAACCCGAGCACTCAGCTCCAAACCAGCGTGAGTCACGTGCTCGAGCCAAGATCGCCCGCGGCCTCTGAATCAGACATACAATGTGCACTACCAGGCACGACAAGGACTTGTTCCCCAACAGATCGCTGTTGGTGCCGTGCGCAATTGCGATAATTGCACTCCAATGGGCAGCAACGAGGACATAACCGAGCTTGAATGCAACTCAAGTAGTTCTCAGCAAGCCGTTTCTTTTCACGGAGGGTATTGTCACGGGCCGCTTCAACCGCGTGTGTCCGTCACAGCTGTCGAGTACATCATGTCACATTGCATAGCCTAGCCCTGACCTGTCCTGGATCAAGTCCAGCCTTACAAGTCCACCAAGCAGCCAGGTGACGCAGGCACGGAAGTGTGGCGCAGCCCGAATTCCGATCTAGACTTCTGCAGATTCGGTTGGTTCATCGTGACCGACTTCGGCGTCGCTTTGATTGAATACGCGTTTACCAGAGCTGTACCCATTCAGGCGATCGTCGAAGGCCCAAGTCACCAAGGCCCTGGAGCGCAATTTCTCAGGGTCAGCAGAGCTGGTCACCTTTCAGGCAGACATGGGAAGAGGCGTTATGATCCAGCACCTCAGTGCGTCAGCAGAACCAGCATTCCTTGGTCTCGTGAGACTGATACTTACACTGCACTGTACGTCGCTCAGGCCTCCTGCATCTCGGTGAGGCCCGATCATTGCAAGACCTGCTTCCCGCCCCCTGCAATAAAGCCACAACATCAAGAATCCAGAGAGAGTTAAAACATCTGGCAGCAACTGCAACTGCAAGATGGTCGAGAGCGAGCTCGGGAGACAGCATAATTGAGGAGAATGGCGCTGTTCAAGCCCCACAGACAAGTCATAAACAGTGTCGGAGACTTGTGAGAGAACACTACTTCATACGGCACTGCCTCAAAAGTCTGCCATGCGCTGCTCCACTGAGCCTTAGGACGCACAAGGTTTACAAAATGGACCTGAACGCCTTTCTGATTCGTACAGCGAACGAAGCTTCCCGTTCAATGGCTCCGGCGTCGCACGAGCTCCAGTCCCTGTCTGTCCAGCTCCTGGCAACTGACGAGAGCACAATGACCTTCGTTGCTTGCTTGAGCAATCACCGACACTTCCCGAGCATACAAGCCGAGCGCTGATGGTCGTCCTTCACGAGCGCCAGCACGGCGCAAAGGATGTTGTCTGTGCGGCTCGCACCGTTAGCGAGACGTGCTCCCTTGCCAGATGAGAGGCCAGGCAAAAAAACTCAAATTGAGGGCTGAGGACAGGCCCCGACAAGTCAGGCAGAACCGGCTTCAGGATCAAGGACCCAGAGACTCTTGAGGTGGTGATGTCAGCTGCGTTCTAACAGTTCTGAAGCAACTCTTGAGGTGAAAATCACCTAAGAAAGGCGAGGATCTCAAAAGCTCGGTTCTTCCAAGCACCGCTCACAAAGCTCCAAACAAATCGAGCTCTTGACTGTTGCCGCGCCTCCTCACGGTGTGGCAGGGCGGCCGGCGGACTCGGAGATGAAGGAAGCTTCCAATGAGTCGACGACTCTTAAATTGTTACGTGCTCAAACAAAGTGAACTTCCCCAACTTCGGTCAATAGTTCTGTGGAGTAGAAAGTCGACATCACATGACATCACGCTGCAGAGAGAGAGCGAGAGAGCGAGAGNNAGAGAGAGAGAGAGAGAGAGCAGTTTGAAGTTTCATCCTACGATGAAACGAAGAGAGGCAGCGCTACTGAGTTCGCAGAGAGGGCAGAAGCTGGCGGGCGTCTTCTCGATCCGAGTGCAGTATCTCTGTGTGTGTGTGTCTTGCTGCCCAACCCGTGATTCTGTTGTCACGCCTTTCCTCTGCTGACCCAGAATTGACAAGCCTGAAGGCAACATCAACTCCTCGACGGATAACATGACAACCCCATCAAATGCATTCAGACTGCAAGGAGGTGCGGGTGCCCGCTGGCTCAGCGCAGCACCCGTCGGCCCACGCATTTGCAGGTCGTCCTTGCCCTGCCAGCCGATGAGCGCTTCAAGATCTCCAAGCTTTGCAGAAACACTTCTGGGTCATGCATGCAGGTAGCACTTCAAGCCGCGTGTACCTGCGCGCGGGATCGTGGAGTCCTGCCGTTTCCTTTCGAGGTGTACAATACTCAGAAATGCTCCAAGGGCTCATGTCACCTCGTTTACGAGTCTATCCTGATCATTCACCGACTTGTATCGTCCACGTGGCCCCACATCAATACATCCTGTCGATCGCGGAACCACAGGTCCATTTCACCAGGAACTCCGCCAGGCGAAGCCCATTCCGACCCATAACAAAGAGCGAAATGTCGCCCAAATGTCCTGCCTATGTCGAAAGATCAATCAGGCCAAGTCGAGAAAATTCGATCACTTCGAGGCCACGGCCCGGTCCCTGAAGTCTTCGGCGAGGACCCCATCCGTTGACCCATGACTGTGATGAGGTGTAGATCTCTACTGCTTTAGGCCAAACCGCTGATACAGATCCTGGTCCAGAGCATGCTTGCTTCGGCAAGTTTCAAACAAGAAGTGCTCTCTCTACCCGAGCACCGGGAAGCCAGCCCGAAACCACAACCCAAAAAGTGTGGCTGCATTTGTCACGCTGCCTTCGAGAGGCGGTCGAGCTCCTCGACCAGGGTCGGCAAATGGCGACCCGATCTGCTTCAGGGCGTGGGCACAGGCTTCAGGAGTCCTATCTCTGCGTTCTGATTTCCAAAACTTACGACGCGGAGGACGGCTTCAAGCTTATGCGCAACAGAACCCGGCTCCGGAAGACTTCGAAAAATAAACCTTTGTAGCTTTGTGGCATCCACACCTCACTGTCTCGCCGAGCTTGCAAGCCTGCACGCTCCTGACCTGAAGCTTTGCAAGTCGCTACATGAAGAACGCGGTAACTGCTGGCCCAAATCTTCGCAAGCCGCCCTCGACCATGCAAACGTGGCAGTTTGCACAAGTACAAGCCTCGAAGATCCTCGAAGGGAGACTTTCATCAGTCGAACCGAGAGTGCTCATGGGGTCACTGCCTGCGCCACTCGGAACGGGCGACTCTGGAGGTATCCTGTCACAGACGTCTCACGAGACCGCAAGCTCAACCTAAACCTTTTAAAGAAGCCCTGAAATCATAACCTCTAAATCCTAATTCTCCAGAGCCCCGTGTTTTGCAGCAGTCCAGTCCTGGCTGCAGTGCCAGGATCGTGTGGCGAGTTCTTCCTGGCAAATGAGCATGCCTGTAAACGCCTCCGTGCGAGACCGTTCAAACACGAAATTCACAGCTATCCTGGGGCCATTAGCAAACTGCAAATTTCCATGTGCAAGATAGCCCCAGCCTCTTGCAGACTGCACCAATAGATTCCCAACATCTGCTTCGGCGCACGATGCACTCGATTGGGAGAGGCCCGAAAGATTGCATTCTGAAGGGCTCGAAGAGTTGAGAAAAATGACTATGCCGACGTGCGGAGAACTGCTGATGTCAAGAAACGAAGCAGATTTCTTCTGGCCCCAATAGACTAGCGGAGCTGGAGACTTTCGACCTCTTCAGAAAAAGGCTTCATCGCTTCGCGTTGGCTCATGGCCCCCGTCATTTGGGTGGCATGTTATTGGCTTCTGACTTCATGTGGCTGACATGGGCCCACTCGGATGCCCAACCAGCCTCTGCGGTGGCAGGCGTCGCTGCTCTATCAAGTCCTCCTGCGCATTGCACAGTTCTCGTCAAGCACTTGACCAGGCAAAGACGAAAGCGCAAATAGCACATAGCTTGTGAATGCGGGGCTTCACGTGGAAAACACCACAAAGAACACTGCTGACTTTGTCAAAAACCCACAAAAAACCGAAATCCGACAGCGCTTCAGTAGCTGAGCTCCGTCGGCAGAGTCTGCCGGGCTGGCGCCGAGCGATAAGCCGGACGCCGCTGCCCTGTTCACTATACTCTTCATGTTAGTAAGTTAGTACATGACGAGCTTTCGGCATTGCCAAGACTGCAGATGTTTGCCTCGTGTTGTGCAGGGTCAGTCTCAAGTGCCCACGACTTTGAGTTCGACTTCAGAAAGCTCTCTGGCGGCGAGTTGTGCTTGTACCTAAACTTTGGAACAATGCCAGCTTCTTTAGCTCGCATTTGCATCTGCTGACGCCTCGTATGTTTGGTGCCGTCGCAGACCCATTCAGCCCGAAATCGACCAGTTTCTAAGGCAGCAAACGACCCAGATGAACCGCCAATCTCTACAACCCTCCAGCCCTCGACGAGGCTCCATTCAAGTCAGAACTGACCACTTGGGATGGTGCTGAAATCCCTTGAAATCCCAGTGCACATCACCCCACCACCCGAAATCTGTAAGCTGGATAGTTGTCAGGTCAGCGAGACATCCGAGCACCAACAGCAAATCAGGCAGATGCTGAACAATTCCTACTTTACCAGGCTTTTCGAATGCCAGGGATCCATGCATTTCCCTGCCTGCAGCGGGCATCATGCCATTGTGCTCGGAGTCGTCCAGCCCGGGCTGCGACTGCGATTCCACTCGGGCGAACATGACAACGATGTAAGCGAGGCTGCAAAGGGGCAAGCGCGGACTGAACGAAAGAACGGAATAAGAGTAGATAACTAGATAACCCCTTCCTGCGCCTATATCCAAAACAGAGCTCAAATCCAAGCTTCCAGCGATTGCGCTCTCTCGCGGCGGAAGCGCACGCTCGTGCACCACAGAGCGCCTCAAGGTTCAGACAAAAAGTCACTGGGAACTTGGGCGGCAACTCGACACAAGGTTCGCCAACAAAAAACATTTTCAGGCGCATGCAACGTGACAATGCCACAGAACCGCACCTTGGTTCCATGGCTAGCGGCGGGCGTCGAGAAGGGGACTCCTGTGTGTACATCTCGGTGCTTACTTTGCGCATCTTTGCTCAACGACTAGACCACGAGAGGCAGCAAGAGAAAACGACGAAGAGAAGTAGAACAGACAGAGAGAGAGAGAGAGAGAGAGAGAGAGAGAGAGAAAGGGAGCCAAAGAGAGACCGAAAGAGGGTGAGAGAAACAGAGAGACAGAGAGAGAGGGGAAACAACACTGACAGAGAAGACGACGACTGCTGCTACTGCTGCTAGGGCTGCCGCTGCTCCTACTGCTACCGCTGCTGCTGCTGCTGCTGCTGCTGCTGCTGCTGGTGCTGGTGCTGGTGCTGCTGCTGCTGCTGCTGCTGCTGCTGCTACGACTGCTGCTGTTTTGGCTGCTGCTGCTTTTGCGAGGACGAACACGACTACGACGACTACTAGTACTCCTGCTTCTGCTCGTACTCTTATCGTACTACAACCACGGCTTCTGCAAGACGGATGACGACCACGACGACGACGACGACGACGACGACGACGCTGACGATGAAAGAGATGAGACGCATGCCGGAATAGTGTTTACAATCCTTGGCCTAGTCGGTATCATTCTCAAGACTACAACGGAAATCGGAACCATGCTTACGGAGGCTATCAACACAGTTACCATGTTAATCCTGCAATCAAAGCCAAAACAATGGTATTGATATGAAACTCACAATTAAAACCGTCCAAGGCCAGCGGGTCTGCTAGTCCTCCTGGGGACGTCGCAGAGCCTGCTTGCTAGGGAAATCGAGTGTTCCCAGCAAATGCGCATGTGAGATCATCGTGCTCCCGGCCTCTTGAGGCCTTTGCGCGGAAAAGGCTGGTAAGTCCCGCTCGTAGGAATCTTCGCTTTCGGACCGATTCTGGCGAAAGCCTTCAGTGCTGTGCAGTACAACTCAGTACTTTTGCCTGCAGCATCCTTTTGCAAGGTGCTCGCCTGCATCTGGCAGTGCTTCAACCTCTTCCTGGTACGGGAAGTCACCTGAGCACAGATGACGGAAGCAGGCTCCTCAACGAATTGTCTTTCGAAGACGTTGAGAACGGGCGCGCCTCCAGCATGAGCTCGATCCACTGGGTTGGTCTCTACCCCGCCAAAGTCGATCTGCCAGAGACCAAGGATGCAGTCGACTGTTCGCAAGGACTCCGCTCTAACTCAAAATAGACCGTGACTTCCCCACGAAGGTACCGTCTGAACCTTGCTGGATCTTAATGGCTCAATCACAACGGAGGGCATCGGACCATCTGCGCATCTCGCCGCTCCTCTTCTGTGACGTCCTGGAGTCGATCTGCTGCAAGTTCCAAATCAACTGAAGTCTTGCAAGCACTGGTGGTCAGAAAGTGCTAGCAGAGCACACGTTTCATGAAGCCCATGGAGACAAAACTCTGGCACAATGCCGAGGGGAATGCGAGTAAGACCATGGATGTAGAAAAGGAATGACAAGGACTCACGACTAACAGAAACGATGCTCCTCTGCGTCAATCTTTGTGAGGTTCGGAAGGTGATGCAAGATGTACTGCCTGTAGTACCTCCGTGAGGGTGTTCCGCAAGCAGGCAAGGAGACCAGCGATGTCAAGGGAGGCCGAGGAAAGCACGGCAGATCGGCACAAGGGTTGTCTGCCAGCCAGAGCACCTGTGACGAAGACAACTATGTCACCGGCAGACATTGAATTTCAATAGACCCCTTTCGAAACTAGAGATTATGACTAGGGGCAAAGGCATCCACGGTGCCTTCATGCGCCTCAGATGCCTGAGATACAGAATCTCTGACCTTGGCTTCTGCTCAAGGTTGTGTGTTTTCCCCTGTTTAGAGCATATCAACTACCGCTGCACTCTGCCCATGCAGCACTAACATGGTGAAGACGTTGCATTACAATACCTTGCAGGGAAGTTTGCACACGTCTTTTCACTTGGCCTCATGTTGTCAAGCCCTGCTCGGTTCCGGGTACTGACACGATATCCGCTCTTTGTTCAGGCAAAGACAGGTCCATGATCTCGTTCTTCCTCAGATACAGCCTCGGACACTCGAGCATGGATTCTTGAGGCTTGCAGCTGAAAGGTTGCTCGTGCAAGATATAAGCCTGCCCTGCACTGCACATAATTGTGGCAACACAGGTGACCTAGTATACGCTGACCCCGGCAAGCTGGGGGTGGACGGGGCTTTTCTAAACATTTCCCTTGAACACCGTAGCTGCCTTCTGTCTACAGTACCCACGGGCATCTGGAGCAGCCCAGTGTCCGGTCCCTTTCTCCTCTTCTCCTTACGTGCCCCAGGGCAATTAGAACAAAAAGAACTTAGGCTGAGTATTGATATTGGCATGCTGGCACCCAAGCTCTGCTGAAAGCTCCCATGCCCGGATTTCCGCCCCCCCCCCCCCTGCAGCGCCGAGCCCAGGGCTCCGAGAGCTTCGGGCAGTGCCTGTGAGGGCGCATCCAACAGCAGACTCTTTTCCGGGCTTCTTGTTACGGCAGCTTGTGAGGATGCTAGAATCGAATCGCTCCGAGTGGCTGAAGATCCATGAGTGTATTCACCTGGTTCACGCTGAGGCTCAGGACCTGCCAGGAGCCAACGGATGAGGTTTCGAAGTTTTGGAGGTTATTTAAATCCATGGGCCTCCAAGTTTGGCATGGACTGGATAACCTTGGCAAGCTGGAGAATGATGTCTTACAGTTGCAGCTACCACGCAGGTCACGAATGAGGAACTCTTCGTCCTATCCTTACCAAGGATCCGGTGTGCCATCGGACGTGAGAAGCGTCTGGTAACTGAGCTTCCGACAGAAATGTCCTGACACGTCAGGTGGATGGCCGACTTCCAAGCGAACGCACTCGGAACCGTGGCCTAGCTTGCGAAATCGGCCGTCCCTAACTGAACCCTGAACCCCAAACGACCTCCCAAGCCCCGGCCGGACTTTTGAGAAACCGGACCCCGAGTGCGCTACTGCATGTACGCATCTCCTGCAGGTCATTGCCCCACAGGTTCAAGTTCTTGATGAGGTCCTCAGGTCTGTTAGACGTTTGTAGAATCTTCGGGAAATCTATCGGGGTTACTCGGAAGGCTAAAGGTTTCAAGAACTTCAAGGTTCAGGCGTTTCATGTGCTTCGTCGCTGTCTTAAAAAACGAAAGCATGAGACTCCAGCAGACTCTCCGTCAGACGTACTAACTGGGCACAGGACCATGCGATTGCACTTCGTCCGCATGAAGACCATTTCCTGTCTTCCACTTAGTGTTGGAAGCTTGTTGCATCTTGCGACAACCGTTCACGGCAGAACGAGCAAGGACGCTGAGACACCACTCGGAGCTAAGCGGACCTTGTGGCGCTGTCGTGTGAACCGAGCTTCGGGATGAGTGTGCGGCCCCCAGGGCCCGCACCTTCTTGGCTTGTGGCGAAGCCCGATTTTGCCGCTGCCGGGCTTCACTCGGAGACGGACGCCCAATAACGAGACCGAGCTCTTACTTGGAAGGGTTGGTCGCGGCTTCCACCTTCTGCTTCATAAGAACAAGCCCGCCACAGTAGGGATTTGCGAAAGCAAGGCTTGACATCGTTGAAGAACGAACGACCGTCATACCTTCGCAGCAAACATGTGCGACAGCTGCTACATCGTTTCGCGAAGGTTTGTGGAATCGGCTTCAGAACGAATCTCGGAACTCCGGGGTGCTCGACGGCCCGTCTTTCCAGAGACCTCGCTACGGACCTCCACCTGTCAGAGAGAGACAGGGCCGGGCCTGAGTCAAGGCACGGCCACCGCCACCGTCCCCTGCGCACGGGTGAAGTATGGGTTTGCCTCTGGTCCGCGACATCGCGCAAAAGCCATACACCGAGTGCCGCACGTCTCGCATCCGGCCTTGCTAAGTGTCCAAACACAGCATGGCTTGTCTCTCGGATCCACGGACGCATAGGCCATAGGCCGACATGTGCTGGCATGCTCTGGCTGCGGATGGTTCTGGCTCTCCAACTTGCGTCATATCGGACATATCACTGCAGACCAGTCGCGGCATTCCCGGAAACGAGGCCGCAGCATGCACGAGGCTGCACAAGAACTACAGTTTCTGGTTTGCTTACAGTGTCTTGTGGAAGTGAATCGAGCAAAAGGGTGCTTCAGAGCTTTGGCCATGAGGGTGTACGGCCCAAGCTATATGAGAACTATGGCAGGATGTCGCACGCAGGTGCCTGGTGTATGACGATGAGACAGCTCCATGGCTGAAAGCCTGCTAATGGCATTGGCAGTTCAAGTTGGGGCAATGCCCATGAAGAATCCATTGCATGCATCAACATGGCCACATATGATGCCCTCTCCAGACCCTCGGTATGCAGCCCCCATTTTTCCTCCAGCGGTGGCACATGGAGGACGGATCACCGCCCAGACTGACTGGGCAAACAATCGAATGCTTCCTCGTTCGAGAATTCTTCTGTAGAACTCGTCAACGATTCCAGAACATGGAAGCACTATCAGCAGGGGGGTTTAAAAGAACGGAGCTTCTGCCTAGAGCAGCGCAGCTCAGTGGCAAGGGGCTCGGAAGCAGAAGTGGTAGCCCAAGCACTCATGAGGAGCAGGAAGTCCGAGACTCTTCAACATCGGACTCTTCCGGAAGAGGCAAGTGGAAGGAGTTGCTTCTCGGGGCGAACAAACCTGAGCTGAAGCATGCAAGCGCCCATGACATCTTCTGATAAGCACGGTGAGAGATGTCATGCACCTAGAAGGGAAGCCTCATGTACCGTGTTGCGCAAAATGAACCGTCTGTGTAGGACCCAAAGCCTGCCAGTTGCATCCAGGACACTCACAGCGAGCAAGGCCACGCAAAACAACCTCAGTCAGGCGGATGAAACAGACTCCAACAACCTGGCACGATGCTTCTCAAACTGTCAGGCACTTTGCGCCACCGGGATCTTCAACCTTGAAGCCTTTGGCATCGGAGCGCCAAGCAACCCACCCGAGATGATCCACACTATCTTCGGGTGGCCGCTCTGTACGAGCTGTCCAAGGATCAATGTTTGACCTTCCAGGGACTACAGCATCTGTTGCTGTCTGTGCCATGTGCCTTTCTGAGGGTGACCGGGTGCACGTGCAGGGTCGTCAGAAAACAGCCGGGCGCTCGTGATTGTCACAATAATCATGAACAGTGATAACACTGCCTACAATCATCATTTTGTCTATCATTAAGGCATATGTGATTATGATGATTATAACGATTATGTATATAAATCTCCGCCGAGGCCACCGGCCCAGGCGTCTTGGGGGTTAGCTCAAGTACCCTCCGCCTAATCCTCCTTTTTGTGGTTGGCACCACGTCCATTTTCCACCCCCCCGCTTCGCCTGATTTTACCTCACTTGTCGGCC